GTGAATAGAAAAAATGTTAACACCTCTGTTATCTTCCATTTCCTGTAGCTTAATGGGTTTTAAAAATAAACAAGGTTACTTAATTGTGTCTAATTTGGTACTTTTGAATCAGGACAAGTATATATAACAATTTAAAATGAAGGGAGAGCCATCCGAGTGGCTTGTTGGTTAAGAGTTGGTTTAAGAGTGCCAGCTCTGAGTAACAGGGCCACCTGTTTGATTTCCACATGAGCCAGTGACGCTTCGGCCGCTAAGATGGCAATAGGTGGTAGGATGGTTCGGCTGGTGAGAGCACATGCTCCTAACAACAAGACTGCCTGGTCGATGGTGGGCTATGCCCACCCACAACTAAGACTGAACTCGGCACCTTGAACTGAGCTGCCGCCCGGATAGCTCAGTGGATAGAGCATGCGCTCTTAACAAGGCTGCTGGTTCGACTCCCACATGGGATGGTGGCTACGCCCACCTGCAACTAAGATTGAACACAGCACCTTGAGCTTAGAGGCCACGAGCTGCCGATGGGAAGCCAGAGGGTGACTGGCGCCCTCCACAACTAAGATTGAAGAACAACAACTTGGCTGATCCCCTCCCCCAATTCCCCAATAAAATCTAAAAAAATAAAAAATTATTAAAAAAAATAAAAATGAAGGGAATGCTTCTCAAAGATATCAAGTAAATTTCCCTACATGGTGTTTTCCCTATCTCAGTACTTTGTTTCTTTTAAAGAATATATATACACCATAACTTGTAATTTATTCATTTGCCTCTAATTTTTTTTTCCCTGCCTTTTTTTCCTCAGCAACATTTAGTCTCCTTGAAGATAGAAATCATTGTAGCCCCAGCATTTAGTAAGTGCTAAAAATATATGAGTATTTAATGACTGTTAATAATGTTGTTCAGGAAAGAACATTTATTGAGCATTTACTATGTGCCGGTCTATGATGGTAGTACCAAATATTTTGAATGGTCACTATGTTGTGCAAATCAGGACCATGTATGAATGTGATTTATGTATTATTTGATTCTCCTCTTAAAACACATTTCAAAAAGACATAAGTATGCCAGTGTCTGTCCTTCTCTTTTAGTGAGGTAGGTCTTATATGTGCTCTCCCTACTACCCCACCACCTCTATCCGCATCATCAAGGAAGGAAGGAAGGAAACAGTGAAGAGCAGGGCTGCCAGCATATACAGAAGCTGGCAGGAAGATCAGTTAGTTTTCATTTTTTCTTTTCTAAATCATCTGTAGACAGACAGCTTCCTTATTTAATACTCACTGACATTTCTTTCAAATACTACTTTGATAACATTTTATAACCAAATAGCTAGAAAAATGTCCCTTAGCAGCCTAGAAAGGGTATCTAATTACAGGATGTATAAATGGGGTCCCTCTTAGGGATACCCACACTTTTTATTTTGAAATGATTTTAGATTTACAGATAAGTTGCAAAAATCAGAGTTCTTACATACACAGACACTTCACTCAGCCTTGCCTAATATTACCTTCTGACATAATCATGGTTCTAGTACCACTTTTGACCCTACGTAGTACCCCTGTGGTCATTAGTGATGCTGAGTATGTTGTTTGGCCTTCCAGGTTCAGGATATATTTCATCAGTGGGCTCCCTTTCTTTTTTTTGCTTGTGATTGGGATTAACCAATGACAGCAGCAGGAAACTGGAGGGCAAGGTATTTATTTCCATACCCTCCTTTCCATTACTTTCTCTTTGTAGAAAGACCCCTTTACCAAAGGGCCACAACAAAAGCTCCTGCTCCCTCTATTCAGCTGAAACTATTCTACCGGGGTTCCTGCTCCCATTCCCTTGCCCCTTTTCAGGCCTAGGAGTGGCGATAGCTCTCTGTTGTCATTAGCCCCAGGATGCTCTGCCATCCGTACTTTTCCCCATAACTCTTTCAAACAACCCCTTTCTTAAATTGTCCTCAATACCCCCAAGTGACTGTGCAATCTGATTTTCTCCAGGGACAATGACTGACAACATAATGAAAGTGATACTACCTTAAAATTGACTTTCTCTAACAGAATAGATCCTCCTATCCCAACACACAAAATGAAGATTGTTTATATAAATGTTTCTACCAAGAGGTGTTCCAAACCATGCCACTCACAAGTCCAATTTCATGAATCAGGCCTGAAACTGTCACGCCTTTACCTTACTCAAGAGTCAAGGGAACAATTGTAGCACAGCCAACAAGCTGCCTTGTATATATGAAAATAGATATCATTAATAGGGCTTCTAGCACCAGTGGAGGCAGGTATTTATGCTAACCCCCTCTCCCAATCATTCGATTCTCATTCTGGCCATTAGAGTGCTTTGGGCAGCAACTGTCATTTCAGCTAGAGGAAAAGGCTATCTCTAGTCAGGAATTTAAGATCATTATTTATAGTTTTAAATTTTGAATTAAAATACAATGAATACAGATTATCAATATAGATAATAAATTGTTTAAAGATGAGCGGTGTGAGACACACCAGCAATTTCAGCCCTACAACTGGCTTCCATATTTATTAGTTAGCAGGTTCTGAGTAGAATGGGACAAGCTTTAATTCTACACCCAATTTCCTTAATCAGACTCTTTATCCAACTACCTCCTAATAGATGATGAAGATGAAAGTTCAT